GGCCCACAGGGGTCCCCAACCTTTTTGGCACCAGGGACTGGTTTCATGGAAGACAATTTTTCCATGAATGGCTGGGGAGGACAGGGGTGGGGTGGGGGTGGACAGAGCTAAGGCGGTGATGCAAGTGATGGGGAGCAGCTGTAAATACAGAAGCTTCACTTGCTCACCACTCACCTCCTGCTTGTGGCCCCCACCCCCTACCCCCCTTTCCTAAGTTTCATGGAAGACAATTTTTCCATGGACAGGGGGCGGGGGATGGGGCAGCGGAGCTCTGGGTCTAGGTCCCTAACCAGCCACAAACCAGTATTGGTGGAGGCTGGGAGTTGGGGACCGCAGAGGTAGGAGTTTCCCTACAAACCTTTCTCTCTCTGGCACATAAGGACATGAATACAAATAAAGCAGGAAGGAAAACAGAAAAAGGGGAAGATACAAGTAAATTTTCTGAATTTCCTTTCTCTCTTTTTGGGTCTATATATCATGTTCAGGACTGTAAATTCTTACTAGCAAGCAACTGTTTTTGAGTTATAGAAAGAAGAGCAGAGCAGCAGTGATTTGGCCAAAGAAAGCTCCTTAACTAGGGCATGTGTGAAGCAAAAGATGATGCTTAACATTTTTGCTGCTGAAAGAGTGAATTCTACACTTTTCACAATCCTTGTGTTGGAATTATCTTCTAGTTTATCTTTCAAATGGCTTCTATTTGTGCAAATACATTACTGCCTTAATCCCTTGGTGAAACAAGGCAAGATATAAATTAATGCAATAAAAATTTTTCTAGCTGAAACACCTTTTTCAAAGTCTTCTCTAAATATCAAATCAAAATGCCTATAAGAATCAGTTGTCCTTAAAAGGGTGGATTTGATGGACTGAATTATATCTCAATTTCTTTTGTTTCTTTTTTTAATTATTTTTTATATCTCAATTTAAACAAAACCAAAAATACAAAGCAGAAAAAAAAAAAAATTGGTTGCTTCAAAACATCAGTTCCTGGCCGGGCGCGGTGGCTCACGCCTGTAATCCTAGCTCTCTGGGAGGCTGAGGCGGGCGGATTGTTTGAGCTCAGGAGTTCGAAACCAGCCTGAGCAAGAGCGAGACCCTGTCTCTACTAAAAATAGAAAGAAATTAATTAGACAACTAAAAATATATAGAAAAAATTAGCCAGGCATGGTGGCGTATGCCTGTAGTCCCAGCTACTCGGGAGGCTGAGGCAGGAGGATCGCTTGAGCCCAGGAGTTTGAGGTTGCTGTGAGCGAGGATGACGCCACGGCACTCTAGCCAGGGCAACACAGTGAGACTCTGTCTCAAAAAAAAAAAAGAAAATCAGTTCCTAAAAGCAAAGCATAATAAATATGTCTACATGTGTATATAATGTATATAATTTCTCTAGACAGTCTGGGGAACACAGTAACATTGTACCATTGTATTGATCAGGTCGTGCTGACATGTAATACTAACTAAAGAAGCTCTGTTTCTGGGGAGATTCTCCTAAGGAGCAAGCATTTGCTTTCAGTTCCCAGAAAGTGCATTCTTCATCATAGGCGGCTTCACTGTAGGTGGAGGTCTATTTGCACAATTCTTTTTTTTTTTTTTTTTGAGATAAGGTCTCACTCTGTCACCCAGCCTGGAGTGCAGTGGCATCATCATAGCTCACTGCAACCTGAAACCCCTGGGCTCAAGTGATTCTCCTGCCTCAGCCTCCCAAGTAGCTGGGACTGTAGGCACGCTCCACCACACCCAGCTAATACTTCTATTTTTTGTATAGATAGGGTCTCACTTTTGCTCAGGCTGGTCTCAAACTCACTGGCCTCAGGTGATCCTCCTGCCTTGGCCTCCCAAAGTGCTAGAATTACAGGCGTGAGCCACCGCGCACAGCCCTGCAAGATTTTTCAACACAGTAGCCAACACAATTAAGGTTACTGTGGCCTCAGTTTATTTGCCAGATGGTAGAACAGTTTATGCCAGTTTGTGGAGGTATGATCAAGAGTTCTTTGTCATTTCCACTGCTCTTAATGGTCTCATCTATGGATTCACAAGGAACCACAGGCTCCTAGAGTCAGCTCATCTAATTCCTTCCTAGTCTAATACTTGGATCCTCCTTTTGCCAGTTGTTACCAAATCTCTGCTTGAAAGAGAACTCACTATCCCAAAAGGAAACCCTAGTTGTTAGACAATGCTGTCTTATACTGAGCCAAAAATCTGTCTCCCTTTATGGGAGGATGGACCAGGCCCCAACCTATTGAGAGTGTCACCCCAAGACTTCATTTGCTTATAAGCTGTAGGGTGACTTAATTTTCAGACGACCACCCTTTCCTCTTCTGCTTTAGAGATTTTTTATTTAGGATCTCATTTTTAAAAAATAATTGGCTATTTTGTAAGTGTATGCCTTTGCTTGGTGTCTAATGCCTCTTCAGTCACTAGACTTTGGCCAAGCTTGGCTTTACAAAACTCAACTATTTAAACCCTTACCAATGGATTTTTATTTCAACTTTCTTCAAAACATGTTGCCAAAAATGGTTTACTTGGACATATACTAACACTTTATTGAAAAATATATTTATTTTTATGGTTCTTCTTCTAAAAAGGGTCTCGCTATGTTGCCTAGGTTGGTCTCGAATTCCAAGGCTCAAGCGATCCTCCCACCTTAGCCAACTTAGGATATGGGTTTTTTGGGGGGATGCAAGTGACATGAAATGCTCTATAGTTCCCTCCCTAGTTTCATCAGTAAGCAAAAGTTTCAGAATACCAAACACCATTATCACACTCAACAACACTGACAATAATTTTTGCTCGTTTCCCTGATTATTTGATCAATGTCTCTTAATCCTCTTTTAAAAATCTCTAGGTTTCCCCTCCCTTTTTTCTTTGTAATTTATTTGTTGAAGAAGCTGGGGTTATTTGTTATATATTTTGAGGGTCTATAGTTTGCTGATTACATCCCCTCCCCATAGTTTCATTTAATATGTTCCTCTATCCAAAGGTTCCTTGAAAAAATATATATTTAAATAAAATATTCACTATTAGTACAGGTAGTATGTGGTTTTGGCAAAATTGGGAAGGTGGTGGGTATGAGTCTGGGAAACATTGTCTCTGTCTCTCATGTACCAAAGTATGATCCTTTACATCCATTATGAATGCTTTCTCTTCATTCGAAATCTTCAAATCCTGTGTGGAAATGAGTAAGGATTGGTAAAGTGAGCAGCCTCTCCCTCCACAACTTCTGAATACAGAGATTTGGGTACTCTCTGGCTGATTCCTTCAGTATGTGGGCTTCTCAGATCTCCTTAAGACCTGCATCAGACTGCTTACTGTTGGCCGCTTTTCTGTTCATGAACTTCTCTATGAGGACATGGGCTTCAAAATAAAAACTGAAATGTAAGCCTCATCACTGTGCTCTCTCTTAGCAGCACTAATAAAAGGGTTAGTGCAATAAATTTCTAAAATGCATTTTTAAATATCAATTTTATTTTTTCCTCATTGATGCAGAAGATAGCTTACTGTAACATTAAGTCTTTGAAATAAAAAAAAAGAAAAAAAATCAGAAAGCAAAACCAGCCCAAAGCAAATAAAACATACAATCATGACAAAATTTTGTCAATAAACCTAGGTTTAGCAATTTAAGAAGCTTGGATGAGGAATAACATATAGGGAGGAACAAAGAAGAGTCTAGTTCATTGGGAGAGGGGGTGTTATTGATAAAGGACTAAGGTTTTGTTTTTTTCTGAAATCTGTCTGTGGTTATTTGATGGCTAATGACACATGCTTATTACCTCCACTGATAAAAGCAGAGGCAGTGTTATAAAGCCTTGTCTACTACGTAGGACACAACATCATAGACATTATACACAATGAGTAAACAGAATGACAAAGGAGCTCCTGGTTGATGGAGCCTTCCACTGAGCCAAGACTGCACCAGATCTGCAACCTACAACCATGCCCAGCTTCCAGAGAGTTCCATCAGGTGCTTAAAAGGCACTAAGCAAGAAGAGCCCTTCCTCATTGTCTGCCTTCTCTGGAACGACCTGAGCTCTTACAAACTACAGGGTGACAGATAAGAATAGATTTATGTTTTTACCCTGCTCTGTTATGGTATTTTTCCAGAAGACTTGGTAATCTTTTTTTTTAGAGCATGAAGGACTTGGTAATCTTTCTTACAATTTTTAGAGAAATGAGCATACTATAAATATGTATCTATTAAAAATTAAAATGTCTGTGAACACTATACTCTGTAAAAAAAAAAAAAAGAAAAGAAAAATGTTTACTTGGGTTTTTTTTGTTATTAAATAAATACTTTTTTCTTTTTGAGACAGGGTCTCACTCTGTTGCCTGGGCCAGAGTGCAGTGGCATCATCATAGCTCACTGCAACCTCAAACTCCTGGGCTCAAGTGATCTTCCCACCTCGGCCTCCCAGAGTGCTAGGATTACAGGCGTGAGCCACTGTGCCCAGCCTAAATAAATACTTAAATGCTTGACTCCAGAGGTTTTAGAATAGTTTAATGAAAAAAATAAATAAGTATACTATATTAATGATCTGTGTATGAGCAATAGCAAGAAAAAAGTAGGGAAACATATTTTTGTAGGGGAAAAAGAATCTGAATGTGTGTGGAATGTTAAAGAGAATAAGGAATTAATTTAACCAAAAATGGTTAATCTAAAAACTTTCATTTTAATACATTTGGGCCCAATTTATAATTGTCTAGTTTCCCAAAAATATGTTTCCCAGTTTGGCTTTGGGCAATTGAGAAAACAAAGGGAAGAAACTCCTTTTTACCTATCATTATTTAATCCTCTGGTAGCCTTCTTCTCTGAATATGAATACATCTAACAGCATCGATTATTGAAATCTACGCCAGAGATATGATTGAGTTCACCCATAGCTGATGAATGTTTTCATTTTATTTTTTTTTATTTTTAAAAAGTGTCATCCTCGCATAGGGGCCATGCTAATCTTCTCTGTATTGTTCCAATTTTAGTATATGTGCTGTCGAAGCGAGCATGCTTATGAATGTTTTCTGATTGTATTTCTTAAGGCAAATATCCCCAACATCTATTGAAAGCTATACAAATATATACATTAACAGACAAAAAGAGACACAGACTGTATAAGTAGTAAAGAGTCTGCAGAACTGGAAAGAAAACAGAAATCCACCTGGGTCAGAGGTATAGGGTTAATTTCTCTTGCTGAGGCTCAGGTTTCCCCTTGATGGGTGTTAATAGTCCACCTAACTTCAAGTGAAGGAGCATCTTTCTTCTTCATTAACCAAACATGCCCAGGTAGAGCTGCTTCTCTTTCCTATGGTAGCTGCTGAGTTCAGACTGTGTCAGCTGGAGGTACCGCCGGACATTGGCATCTTGGAAGATGATGAGAAGGCAATTAGAGACAGTTACACCAAAACTGCACCTTAGGGCAAGAGGACTGTTAACACACTCCCATTTTTTTTTCTCTCCAAGATCTGAATATATCACAAGCATTCTATGCAATAGTAAATCTCATTAATACCACTTTGAGTTTTTAAAAAAATCTCTGTACAGGGCTGGGCTGCTTGCTAATTTTATAATGAAAGGGAGATTTTATTTTATTTTTTTTGAGACAGGGTCTCACTCTGTCACCCTGGCTAGAATGCAGTGGTGACACCGTAGCTCACTACAATGTCAAACTTCTAGGCTGAAGCGATCCTCCTGCCTCAGCCTCCTGAGTAGCTGGCACTACAGGTACACACCACCATGCCCAGCTCATTTTTTCTATTATTAGTAGAGATGGGGTCTCACTCTTGCTTAGGCTGGTCTCAAACTCCTGACCTTAAGCAATCCTCCTGCCTCGGCCTCCCAGAGTACTAGGATTACAGGCATGAGCTACTGCGCCCAGTCTTGAAAGGGAGTTTGATGAAACAGTTATTTTAACTATAGCAGAGCCTCTAAAGATACTATTCTCATAGGTAGCAGTTAATCTATGACAGTAAGAAATATAAACAAATAGCTTATATTTTATATCTTTATTAATTCATAGCGGCATTCCCATTCATTTAAATTAGCGAGATTTTATTGCGTTGCTATATGTTTGGGGGCCTTCTGCTTTTAGCATCCAGTGGCTGCTCTAAGCCAGAATGCAAAAAGGGAGACACTTTTCAGCTCTGAACCAACCAACATAGGAATGAGTCTGTTCTTTTTCACAATATACTTTTTGCCTTGGAAGTAAAGCGCCAAGTCTCAAATTCTCTTTCAGTAGCCCTGCCTTTTTTCTAGGTTGTACCTGGGGTTAGCTGAGCTACAGGACAAAATGACAGCTAAAGCAAAGGCCAGCCCCCCATTGGAGAGCTGGCAAAATGAGGATTATCAAGTTTAGTCATTGGGATCCACACCTTATTCCAGTCACTCTTAAAGGCGAGGAATTGATCCTTGAAAAACAACGGTTTTTAAATCCCTATCATAGAGTAGGGGGGAGCAGCAATTTTTTTATATATAAAGCAGGCATGCAAACATATATATGAAACAGGCATACACACACACACACACACACACATATATACAGATATACATACAAATATTTCCTGAGGATATACACAAAACTAATAATATTGCTCTCCCAGGGAGACAAGAACACAGGAGTGGAGAAAGCCCTGTTCATTGTATACCTTTTAATATGTTTTCAATTTTGAACCAAACAAATGACAACAAAATCCATAAATCGATAAAGTAAAATAAAACAAAACCCCCTTTCCACAGATACCACCACGGCAGGACCATTTTATTTGTCCCTACCACTTCAGTCCCCTTCTTGCTCACCTTTAGGCTGCCTATTGACGGCCGCCAAGAGGTAGTGTCGAGCTTGGTCATAGTCCTGCAGATGGAAAAAGGCTACTCCAGCCCGATACAAAGCCTTGGCATTATCAGGCTGTCGTTCCAGGACTTTCTGACTGTATTCTCTCACTCGTTCGTAGTTTACTGGCTCCATCTGAAGGAGACAGGCTAATGGGCCAGATGAAAGGAGAGAAGAGGGAGGAGGGACTTATTACAGTGGGTTACACTGGCCAGCTCAAGGCAGTACCAAACACAGGACAGCATCAACAACATTCTACTCAAGTGTCTTCCGTGTGCCAGACACTCTTCTAGGTATTAGGGATACAGGAGTGAATCAAAGCTTTACATACCCTGCAATCTACTTCAGTATCCATTGATTGCCTACTACA